CCGCGTGCTAGCCTGTAGGGAGACAGGGAAGTCTGGTACTCTCATCGTGCATCGGAAATGGAAACAGCGGCTGCCGTTGGTAATCATCACAAATTATTCCGTCTGCTACGGGAAACGGGCAGCAGGAGATCTGGTGTTAGCGTGACCATACGCGACGAGAGTAGACAGCCGATCCACAACTTGTCAAAACGCTTGGAGCGCCGGGCCGAATACTTCGCAAGGCGCTTGAACCAACCTGGGTTATCACTTTCTTCTTCGGGTATTGAGTGCCGTTTTCCCCTGGGTCATCTCCTTGGATCCGCCCTCACGCGCAGAAGTCAAATATAAGATCAGACCTTCGAAATTGCGTAAAGTCGCAGGAGCAGATGATCTTCCTCCAACTCTCATCAAATTCGGGGGACCTGCTCTTGTAGATTGTTTACATGGGTTATTACTGAAACTTTGGAAACTGAAAGTTGTCCAGACAGACTGGAGTTGCTCCATACTAATCGCACTTTTCACGGGAGGCTCCCGTTCGGTATGCAGAAAACATAGAGAGATCAGTCTGATCTCAATTGCCTCTAAATTGCTTGCGTCTCGTTCTCCACGGACTGACTGGCACTCGTAAAAGTCAGATACGCGAGGACCAAGCCGGGTTTCGTCGAGGTTGGGGCTGTGTCGACCACAGCTTCACTTTGCGTCAGTTGTTGGATTACCGCCATGTTTGTTGGCGAGCCACCGTAGTCGTGTTCCTCGACATAAAAGGTGACTTCAGTTTCGTAGATCGATGTGCCATTTGGGAAGAAAGGTGTGCTCGATAAATACGCAAACATTATCGGAGCGCTGCACGCGCTTAGTTCAGGCACACTGAGGGTTTATGGCAAACTGTACATATATATATTTAAAACTTGCCCAAAAAACACTCGGCAGAGTGCCGCAACACGTGAGTACCAGTAACCAAAAGGAGAGAATGAGTCAGAGGAATGGAAGCAAAGTTCCATGTGTTGTGTGGGCATTATGGCAAACTGTCGCCGCCATTCAATATCTCCAGCGGTGTGTGACAAGGTTGCCCGCTGTCACATTTCCACTTTGACTTCGCCATTGTCCAAGTCATGGAAGCAGCGTTCGCCGGACACGACCTATAAGGTGGGGAGTGACTTAGTGACTGGGGGTGTGCGACCGACATTACTCTCATATGTGATAGTACCCAAACGTGCTAAACAGCACTGGCAGCACTGGTCGTTACTCATTTTGGGTTATGCTTTGCTTCATCAAAATTCAAAGTTCTGCAAGATTGGCAGGGACTCACCCTGCGCGGACCCTTCATGGTGATCAACTAGAAGTCGTTCACGAATTCAAATACCTGAGCAGCTATATTAGCGCCCGTGGGATCGAAAATGAGATTACGAACCGTATAGCAAAAGCTGAAGGTGCTTTTCCCAATCTCCGCCGTCTGTGTCGCCTCCGCAACATCACTCTAAGCATGGAGGTCAGAGCTTGTAATGCAACCGTCCGTTCAACCCTCTTATACGGTTGTGCGACCTGACCCATCAGGTCGAAGATATAAAAAGGCTCGTCACATTCGATCATCGTTGCCTTTGCAGCATAGCTCATGTCGTTTGGTGGGAGCACCGCGTCATCAGTGAGTGTGTTCGACGTCGTTTATTCGGTGCAGGGAGAGCGAGTGAACCGCTCAGCACCACTATATCACGCACCATGCTCCGGTGGCTGGGCCACGTGTTGCGCATGCCAGCACACCGACTCTCGCGACGTACTTTGTTTGCGCGTCATGGGTCTGGATGGAAGAAGAAAAGAGGCCAAGCGTTGACTTGATCGAGATAGATGCAGACCCTCACTTCGAAGTTGGCGTCGGCTGCTGCATCCCGACTGCCTGGCTGGGGTCCTAAGCATGTTGAACACTTGGTTGGACACTTACTGATATGGCAAAGAGTCGTCTTAATGGCGTTTATATTGTGAATTTCTCTGTCCATCCTTCTCCCGTTTAGCTTCCTCTCCAATTACGATTACTTACGAAAAGCATAATATAATATTTACTATTACAATCAAACCTATCTAAGGCGACCACTCAAGGGACGGACAAAAAGTGGTCGCCTTGGACAGGTTGTCGTCATGGGCAGGTTTATGCGTAGGGGCATTACTCATAAAAGAAATGGTTCGGAATGTTTTTTGGCTGGTCGCCCTGGACAGGTGGCCGCCATAGCAGGTTGTACTGTATATTATTTGCTTTTTGAATTCTTTGTAGTGTATTTTTTATTATCTTATATTTTGCATTGCGGCACATAAACTGCCGTGTGTTTCTCATCCCCAGCTGCTGTTGCTGCTGCTGGGGAACATGCACTCAGACACCTGACCTATGTTAGATCATATTTCACGAACGAGATTGGCTCTACCTAACGAGCATCCTATTTCTTGTGTCGACAAGCGAACGAAGGCTCTAGGTACTTTCACATTTGGGTTGGTCTCCTTACTTTCGCAAAAAGGAAGTACAAACAAGATCAACCTCTATTTTTGGGCGTACAATGCATTTATCCCTAATGGTATAATTGTACGGTTAATTGTCCGATGTCGGAGCTAAATATGTGAGAAATGTATACCTTTAACGCAGTTAAAACTCATCAGTTTTGTGTGGAAACGGCTAGCCGTGTCGTATACGGTGCTTTGTTATACTCGAGTTATTATTACTGCCGCAAAGGAAACCGAATGGATTCTGGGAACTACCGCCTGACTTGTCTAATGTCTGTCATCTGCTAGATCATGCAAAAGATTTTTTAACGGGCATTCCAGCTTTATCTTGTTTTAGGTATCATTACTCCTACTCAGCACAGTTTTCTGAGGGCACACTTTTGTATCACCAACTTGCTTGTTGCCCGCGAGAAGTGGTTGAAGTCATTGGATACTGGCAGTCGCCTTGGTGTTGTTTTTGTTGATTTTGGTGTTCCACAGAACGATTCGCAGGATCTTTATCCCTAGTATCCACCACGGTTCGTGCTCCCGCAAGTGGTGGGATGTGGCTAGTTCAAACACATCAGCGGGTTGAGTGCCATTGAGGCCTTCTCTAATCTTTAACATCAGGTTTCCGTTTTTTAGACATTCATCATATGACTTTCCACGCTGCCTCTCACCTTTAGTAGTCACCGCTTTTTGGACCTTTTTTGTACAAGCAACATGGTTCTGGTGATATGGCGTACTAGCTCGCACTCAGAACTCTATTTGATGTCGCATCGCCTTATGTTTAGTTTTGTATAACCTCTTGCGGCGGAATAACTCCTGCTTCCGACCAAAGGTCGAGAGTATTACGTGTTTACCTTGTAATCCGAAGGTCACCGATTCGGGGTACTAGCTGCCTCACGGTACACACATCCCATGCGCGACCGGTGGTGGTTGAGTGGCAGCGAACCATCAATGTTGGCTTATTGCTTATACTCTCTTATTGGCGTCATGTTGATACTGTAATTATGGTTTGAAGCGATTTGTCACAATAGTAGCTAGATCGTTTATCTCATCGACGCTCCACAACATCCGGGTTCAGGTGGAAATTTGCACTGTGCTCTCATCACTACTCGAACATAGAGGTGGACATGTATTGGCACCAAAAAGCAAGTCTTACAAGATCAACCATCTCATTGCAGTATGGAGGTCTTAAGACAGTGTTTTGATTGCCACTGTTATCGAGTTTTAACTTAACCGCAATTATATAGCAAATGTTCTCAAGGAGGAGGGCCATATCATTTATATGCGTAAGAAACAATAGCGGACCTAGAACCAAACTCTGGAGAACACCACTGTGAGCGGTGCATGTGCTTGAGCTAGACTCGCTCACTCTAATGCGGGAGATTCTCCCACATCATTAGGTTACTGACTCCCTCTCTCAAAGAAGCCTTCTATTGAAAATAACCATAGCACATCTTCGGTTTGATTTCACATTCTATGCTAAGCTAAGATCGTAGCAGCAATTCGTCTCTGCAATTTGATCACAAAATTCCGGCATCTTTCAAAAGGTAAACATTGGCTAAACTTTCCGGACTCATGCAACCTTTTCCAAGAATCATTGCACTTTTTTATCGCTCGATCAATTTCGACGCCACCAGCAATGCTTATTAATATCTCTTCTATAGCGCGATGGAGCAAACTCATCTAAAAGTTGAGCAAGCCTCCCTTTGCTTATGCCGCACCGCTGTTCTGCCTTGGCGTGCGCTGGTTCAGGAACGCAGTTGATGTGTAGGTCCCTGTCCCATAACTGATAGACAATGTGTCCGAATACCCTTTACTATTTAGTTAAGAACACATATAATAGCCTCTGCATTTTCCTCTAGCAGGTGACCACATTTAGGTATTACATCTAGACTCGAGCCGGTGACCTGTTGAATACAAGGCAGGCGCTTTATTCTTTCGGCCACTGGCCTATTTCAGGTTCCAATCTGCCCACACCGCTCTTGGCTCGAAACGTCGCTGTGCACTTTAAACAACCACTATTTTGGATGTGTTAACATTTGTCTGTTCAAAGTGTGTCCGATGCTTTATTATCCTTGGATTTGACACAGTGCGATGGAAGCGCAATTGGAACTGTCTCGCCTGTGCCATCTTATCTTCACACGGCAACCGGCTGTTCGTGGCCTCATAGTCTTATCGAGGTGTGAGATATTTGAGCTCGCGCGTTTGTTTTTCTGAATTTTGGGTATTTGATTTGACCGCTTATCTCCTGCTTCCTTATTAACCCTATCATGATCGTATAGCAGTGCGGCCTCATTACCAACTCCTAGCACACTACTGTTTATTATAATGCTGATGGTTTCTTATCATAATTTTTATGTTCCATTACCAGTTCTTGGCACCACATTATTCTGCTGTTACTTTAAGTCGACTCATCCGCATGAGGCCTTGGACATTTATTTTCCGAAGTGGACATGTTTATTGGATCAACCTATCATATCTTCGCTTCCAAGTTTTTAGCGAATCACCTGTCTTCCTTCATTTTGTTTCACTAGCTTCCCGCTGAAGTTATGCCGAAATCATTCGCTGGTCGTTCGACTCGTAATGTGCTTAATTTAACCCTTCCCACTACGATTGCGCGGAGCTCGGAGGACGACGTCGCATTCGTTTCAGCTGGTGGAATCGAGGCACGCGTAGCTATGGGTAGCACCACGGCTCCACGTGCACTCAAAAACCCACCCGATCCTGATCCTCTACAGAACCCACATCATATAGCTGCGAATGGGGTTCCTGCACCTATTATGCGAGTCCGCAACTCACAGACATCTCCTGTTGGTCCTCGTGCCCCAGGACTTCATGTCAAAGTGATCGCTCCAATTATAACACCCTCTTCTGGTGAGCGCAACCATACTAGTGGACGCTACGCCAATCGTATGAGCACTGGACCGGTTGATGTTGCGGAAGTGTGAGTTTCAAGTTCTCTTTATGTCATTTATTCTACTTTGAGATAGTGTCTGCATGCTTTCCGTTCTGCCAGTCCCTTTTCGCATCCTTCGCTTGAAGCAACAAACCTACAAAGCATCGGAAGCAGCCCCGTATGCTTATAGCGCATGGCCTTCATCGAATTTGCCTTATGTTTGCCTTTCCACTTTAACTTGCGATCGATATAATTCGTCCCGTCAGCTCATAAGCCAGGTAGTTAAAGCACCAATCCAGAAAATCACTAGCCGGTTATTTCACCTTATTGTGGCTCATCGGGGACCAAACTCATGGCCGCAAGCACCTAGCGCCAACTAATCAGCAGCTTATGCCACTGAGTTTCATGGGATGGTGGCACCTTCATAACTTGCAAGCTAACTGGGATATAACGCGACTCATCCTCCACTGTCATGCCGATTACCAGCATTGCAGAGCACAGTGGCTGATGTTATAACCTTCTCTGCACAGATGCTATGCTCACATAGCATTTGAATGCCGTGAACGCAAATTTCTTGATCACTGTGACGAATCAGCACAATTTCGTCAAAACTCCTCCTCGTTATCATCATCATCAATGCACGTCAGCCAAGAGTGAGGAACAAACCTCAGCTAACGTACCGCAATACAAAAAAGATAATTGGACCTTACAGACCACAAAAACCAAAAGTAACATAATGCTAAAATCACATAATGCATTGGGTTGGGATGGTTGTTGGAGGGGGAAGCGAAAGGGCAGGAGAGGTAAAAATCGACGACACAAACGGCATTGCGATTGACTCCTCGCCATGTCAGCTAGTGTATCCAGCCAAACCTGTTCATCGTACTTCGAACCCCAGCCCGACAGTCGGGATACGACATTACCAACTTTTTGCCACACTGCGTTATTTTCCAGTGTCTTCGCACATGTTGCCCCATTTACTTGTGATATATTTACGTTTGGTTTCATGCGTAATATCGGTCACTCTATAGGTGAGACACACAAGTAAGTCGGTTTGCACTTTTCTCCAAAATTTTCCTAGTCCTAAGATGGTGCTATTTGACCATTTTCTGTGGGTCCTAACTTTGCACAGCCGCATACTGAGAGGATGTAATACTTCCCTAATGCATCTTTCTCTGTGCAAGAGCAATATTGTCATTTTATGCTTTTTTTTGCCACTCCGCCAGATTACAGCACATTCGCGTTGAATGTAGTTTTTGTAGTCCCACTCTTTCTGGGCTGACTGCAGTCTGAAGTGTAGACCGACAGCAGGTAATCAAATTATATTGTCAACGACGTTAATCTACTCGAGTGGGTGTACTTTCAGTATTTTCACTATAACCGTGGATACACTAAAGTGTAGCATCATGCAAACTAGGCAGAACAGAAAACAGGCGCTATTGCCACACAAACGGTCCCACATCATACTGATGATTGTAATTCAGTCGACTAGTAGACATGGTGGGTATGAAAAGATGGGATTACGATGCGATGCAGGGCTGGAAAATAAACTGTTTCTTTCACTTGTTATAGACACATATAGTCTTTTATATATGCAAAACTATGTGCTAACAATGATGTCAACGAGCGAATCTCTTGGTTGGTTGCTTCACCTGAAAATACACCTCATTGTGTTCCTAATCAGGAATAAGAGAAACTGACGAGAGAATTACATGACGAATGGACAAGGACGCAGAATTATGTACATTTAGAAGCATTGTAATTCTTAGCGAATGTAACGCTTGCTTCCTGATTGTGAGAATACTTTCAGCATTGCTTATGTGCCAGGATGTCTGGTGAAAGAGATGTTTGGTGGGCAGCGAGTTAGGTGTAATTCGTCCGCTCACAAACAAAACGTTAAAGACAGTGGGCCCAATAAGGACTATAATCATCAACATCATTGTTGTGGCCGATTCATCATGATACCCTCCCTGTTTCATTGGCTGGCTGAAACACAGCAACTCTCTTCTCATTGGTTGTGTAAAATCTGGATGGTTAGAATTGATTATTCTATACCTTGAATCTGTTGCACATTGATTGAGTACGGATACACATCCTGCTTTTCCCTGTTGCCTTTTTGGTACAACATCTGAGGTCGCAAGCCCAAAGATGAACCTTTCCACTCAGCCCCATCTCTATTTTCCACTGATTGCGGTATCAGAGCAACATCAGATGCCTGGCTCCGTAGGAAAACGTCCTTCCAAATCTACTTGGATTTTATCAGCGATTTCCATGCTACCTTTAGTGAGGAACACAGATTGAAGCTGCTTCGACATTTACTCGGAGATGAAGAGCAGCGACATTTTGATGATTTGGGACTTCAAGGATGTAAATCCGTTAGAGAAGCTTTAAGTGCTCTCGATCGCACATGGGGTTACCAAATGAATGTGTTTTATGCGGGACACGTTTTCTCCCGCATTCGTCAAGCAACAGGTGAACCCTTGAACGATTTCATTGCCATCACACTTATCAACAACGCTGCTACACCTGAAGGATATGTTGTTTATCCATCTCAGGAGAACCTTTATTCCATCACCGCTAATGCTAACCCTTCAAAAAGTCTAACAATATCCACTATTGAACCAAAGTTTCCCTCCGCTGATATTCGTACTGTGTCATTCCTTACCATCAAAGACGCTGTTCAACTTGAAATGGAACTAGATTTTGCTTCTCCAGTTAGCATTGTACCTTTTCAATTTTACGAACGCTATCTATCCCATAATACTATGCAACCCACTACGCATTCATTTTGGAGTTACACCGCAATATCTTTACTATACTTGGCTTCATTATCATGCCTTTACAGCTGCATTCGGTAGCTGCGGATGTTGCAGTATACATTTCTTCAGACCACAGACGTACCTTACTTGGAAGAAACTCCATACTGACTTTGCAAGTAGTACCATCTTTCGACCGCATACTCGTCTCTTCCGTGAACGTGACATACTGGCAGAAACGTTACCCTAAGCTTTTTCAGCAGTCCATCGGACGTATTCCATGTGGTGTGCACCGCATTCAGCTGAAGCAGCATGCGAGACCCATTGCCATTAGTCAACCTCGGCTAGCAAAACCTCAAGCTGTCTCAGCGGCCCTGTAAGAGATGCTAAAAATAATAACGTGTCAGCTGTACGCCGTAAGGGCGCTGGGCTGCCGCGCGGCCACCAGGAGTCGCGCGCGGGTTGAGTATACCGCGAGGACGCCCACCCCTACGCGGATCCGAACCGGTGACCTTATGATTGCAAGCCAGGCGTGCAGACCACTCGGCCACCGGCCGACTGCTCTAAGTGGGTGCATTCAATGGTACGTGTCCTGAAATATGATGGCATGGTCAGGATATACAACCATTTGCAGGGACTGGATAAGCATGTCGTCTTAGAGCGATTCGTGTTGCCATCCAACGAGGAACACTGTACGTTTTAGCTGGTGTAACCGTTTTTTCCACGCTAGGTTTGAAAGTGCATTCTTCTATATGCTATTGACCAATGATTCGAAACATCTCCCTGCCTTCATTGCTCCCGATGACTTATTTCGGTACGAAGTGTTGCCAATGGGTTTGAATTCTACGCCCGCTGCGTGTCAAAATTCATGCTTCACGCCTTGGCAGGTATTGATGGGCAGGTTGCATACATGGATGATGCCTGTGCTTTCGGCCGTTCAGAAGAAGAGCAAGATGAAAGGTTGCACAAAATCCTTTGGCGTCTCATTGATCTTGTTACTTCAATTTTGTCAATTCATTGCTCCCGGGATTCAATTTCTGGAACGTATCATATAGCGTAGTGGCATTCGCCCATGCAACGAAAACATCTGGACCATCAGATAAGCGCCAATACTCAAGAACGTGACAAGACTGAAGTCCGTTTTGGGAATGTATTCCTACAATCTGCGCTGTTTGCAACATTTTGTAACCCTGGCAGATCCATTACGACAACTAACAAAAATGGAAAGTCGTTCACTTGGGGAAGCTATCAGCAAAACGCTTTCGATGAACAGAAAAGGAGCGTTGCATCTGCCCCCTTAGTTGCCATTTTTGATGAATCATGCTGCACTTTTGTGTCGACTGATGCATCTGAAACTCGGCGAACAGGTGAACCCTGGTGTCTTTCTGTTCGGCGTTCGTTTCACTCTACGAACTTCTCACTCCGCCCCTACAGTCCTCCTCAGGGATGGATCTAAAGGATCGCGTCTAATGCGGATCAATCGTTGTTATGCTAGACTCCTTATCCACATTTTTAACTTATACCTATCGGGTTCGCGAAGCCCAGTTGCTGATGGATTATCTCGCTTACGTATGGGGCTGGAGGATAACAAGGAGAGACCCAGAGAAGCAGTATTACTTTCCCGCCTTGGCTCCAACCTAACGGCGTTGACTATGAAGAAATGGAAAATGCCAACTCAGCGAGTATGTGCAACTGGGATTGCCTAAGAACAACAAAGTCCCCGGTGAGTTCATTCCATATTACGCAACTCGAGATGAACTGTTAGTGCTACATGGTTGTCTGATGCTTTGTTCGCTTTTCATAGCCCCATGTCAGTCGGCAAACAGCATGATTGTTTGTGCACTTGTGGGACACCCGAGTGTCGTTCGGGCCAAAAACCGAGCGAAACACTCCTTTTTGTGGCCACGAATGGCATCTAGCATTGAGACATTTGTGGTGCACTGTAACGCTTGCCGTCTAGCGGACAAAAGTTCTCTTCCAGTTGTAGCCCCAATACAGCATATTACTTACCCGATGAAGCAGTGGGCTCAGATCCCCCTTGATATTATGGGTCTTTTTGCCACCGCTCCTACGAACAATAGAACTCCCATTGTAGCCACATGTTTTCACATTAAGTGGCCTGAAGTCCACGTGTGCGACCAAGTGATTACATCGGTTGTTACGCTGGCTTAAACACTTGTTCAGTCGTTTCGGACTATCGGAAGAAATAGTCACGGACAATGGACCACAATTTTATATCCGAGATTTCGCAGTTTTCCTTCAGTGCCATAACATAAAACACTCCAGAACTAC